TCACGAGGTGGTTTACATAATTCTCATCCCTCTATATGTACAATTCGTTGAAGCTACTTCCACTGTAATTATAAAATTGAAATAGTATCCTGGCATTACATTCTAAGTAATTCAATATAAAAATCATGCTAACCCCACAATGATTTATGAAAATTAGTTCGTTAAGTATCTAATTCGAACAGGTCTCTTATACTAAGTAGTACAAGTTACTGTACGAGGGTTTATGGAGGTTATAAAATTTCATAGTTTATATCACAGACCGGTTTTTTAAGACAACCATTGAAAACCATAAGGGAATGAACAGCTGCTTTGTCTTAGTAAGACTACTCAGTATTGTACATTCATAACCTCACTAAAAGTTGAACCAAGACCTTTACTCGCGCAGCGAGTGCCTAACTTTCGGATCATCGATTTGGTATCCATTAGTTTACATGTCTAGCTTCACTCACTTAGCAATATTACTCAAATATCTCACGATCGGAATCATAGGTAGCTACTTCAAATTGAAAATGATTGAATCTGACTAATCACGGTCTCTTGCTAGATCTCCCGAAATACATCCTGAATTTAGGCATTAATAGCCAAACGATTACTATTACTATAGTGTGTTTAACTAAGGTAAGATGCATAAACAACTGAACGCCATTTCACCGGTCTAAAGGCTAAGTGCCCATCGCGAGACCTGTAGGTTTGGGTTTTGATTACTGGGAGGGTAGGGAATGCATAGAGCTAAGAAGTCTTACGTTGGGAGGAAATAGCTGTCATATCCTTTCTAGTTTTCAGTAATTGTCTAACTATGATCAATCTGTGATGTAATTGTAGTAACAGTTACTTAAACAATCACAAACGATTTAAATAGAAATGAAAATTTTACTTTTCGTAACAAAGAAAGTATTTATTAATTATATGGCTAGTAAGTTGTGTATCATAATTTAAATTATTACATAATAAACAAATTGTTCTGTGTCTTTAGTGAATAGATATTATTATACACTTATGATAACGCTTTGTTATTGTATCTACAGTTGACATTGATTTACGTAATACTTATACAGTTGTGATTTTAGTACTGACCACTCATAAATGAGTAGCGAAGTTAGTTAATCAACCCATGAAATATTATGAAATAAGTAATATTTAGGATTAAAGTCATTCCACTTTATTTAGTCAGGATAATGTTATCATAAAAAATAAACTAGGTGATTCAGAAAAAGTATGAATGAGATCATTATACCAGAAACTGATCAATCATATTGTTTTGAAGTGTGATATACTTATTGTAAATTTATGAGACTGTACAGATACTCCAAATCAACCATAATTCAGTGTAGATAATTCAGACATAATTTACAGGTTTATCGACTGTTAAATTTCTATTCACATTTGCACAGAAGCTCGTTAAACGAAAGCCACTTCTATTCCGTCCAAAACCATTTGAACCATTTGGACGTTGTTATATTTTACATTAGATACCCAAAAAAGCTCTCTTGGCTATTTTGTTGTCATCAATATGATAAACATAAATTTCAAATTATACATTAATCAGACAATCGATTTGATAGCTATTTTAGTCACTTAATTTAGACCAAGTGAAGAAGTAATGGAAACTATGAGGCGTTGGGAAGTGATTTCATTCTAGTTTCAAACTCTGTAGAATTGTACACTAACGACTTAATATGAGAAAAAACCAAAGAATCTCGTGTCTTGTGTTGATCATCATCCTATTTAAACATCTTATTTTGAATTTTGTAGTGTGGACTTAATACTCCAATTGTGATATAGCATGATTTTCATCTGATGAAATCGATGAGCTATTAAATTAATATTGATTTAATAGTCTTCACAGGTACCTAATATTGACCCAACGGTTTAGGTATATCATTACTTAACTACTGACCTAGTGATTTAAAGTTTCATCCCGTCCTTGCGCGTGTATATACATATACTGCTAACGAGTACTTGAGTAAGGAAAAATGAGTGTAAATTCCTCTCTCTTTCTCTCATTTTCATTGATTCGCCATCCGATATCAATTTATAACCAAAATCACATTCAAAATATACAAGAATTTCCTCATAAACACTGTACTAGTTTGTAAATTTTACATCCCTAAACCATACAACCCATATTTAATACAACTTATTCATATAAAACAACATCTTATGTTTCCAATAGTTCTCCATTCAGTAATTTTAATTTTAAAGAGAACAAGAACGAAGAGTGATGCAGAATAATATGAAGTCATCTTATTTCGTTAGGCTCTCATCAGCTGTTTACAACCTATAATATTTTTAAAATCAACGTTATTACAAATATTGAAATACTTATAAACACGAGGGTGATTAGAGATGAATAGAGTAAATAAGGTCATCAAAATTTTGTTCCGCATAAATAAAGTTTGGGAGAGAAAGTTCCAGAACATTGAAATAGTGATTAAAATTCATAAAGTTAACAAACATCAGGTGATTTTGTAATGAAGCAACTGAGAATAGATGAATGGTAATAAAGAAAGATATGAATTGAAATCAGTCAGTTATGAATTGAAGAAAAATGACAATGATGTAATTTAAACTAAAACTTACGAAAGAGTTGAAATAATGAATGACGCAATAAATAAAGGGGGGGTCAATGTTACCATGGTAAAGAAAGATTTATTACCATCTCTTTTTTGTATATATTGATCTGGTTTTAAACGTTTAATTGCTATCATTTCAGCAAATTTTAAAAGGTTGGAATTTGATTGTTTGTTAATCACCTTGAAGGATTTCAGTATAATGACTTCATGTCCTGTTTCAAGGAGATGTCTGAATGTTTTTAATCTATTTAGTTTTAAACTTTTCAAAATATGTTCATTGAATTAGACGTAGGCTCTCCTTTCTTTTCATAAAATAATTACAATTTTTTTTGTTATTATTAAAGACAAAGATGAAAATCATAAGTCTACTAATCTGTTATTAAAATTGTCATAGACATTAGATATATTTCATTATGTCTAACAATAAAAGAAGAAATTCATTCGACTTACCTATGTCTACAATTACGAGAAATAAATGGAAGAGAGTATATCTTCAATAAAGATTTTATTAAATAAACATACAATTTAGTGAGAAATAATTATTTATGCAATAATAATTATTATTAAATGTAATGTAAAACAATAAACTGTCAAAATTGTATATTGTCATACTGATTTAATGTGTGAAGGTGTAAATGAAATTAGAACCATATCTTCCATATAGATCATGTAGGGGTGATTTTTTTATTGCTGTTGTTGCTTATTAAAGGTATAAAGTATGATATTTATTTTGACTGTGAGAATTACTTCAAACTATACTGATTATTCTATGTTGACTGACTGAAACTAATTAGTCTATTAAGAAATAAAGGGAGGTAACTAATATCTTGATTGTTGGATAATCATTTTTTTAAAAAGATAACTATCATTGCAGTTTTAAAACAAAAAAAACCCAACAACATGTGACATGATTTTCCTTGGGAATAATAAACATGAAATAAGATTTATTATAGAAAAGCTAAGACAAAATTTTCTTTGTCATATGGTCTGGTTACTAGAATACTTGGAGACTTAGTTTAATTTAGTATTACAATAGAACACTATTCTTTTTTGGAACTTGTTATTAATTATAATTACAATAGTTGTCTCATATCTGATTGATTAATTATGTCTGATAATATAAAATACTGAATATATTTTTTATATTATAGTGACCTATTTATGTTTTATTCAATAATTCCATGGTATATGATTTGATTTTTTTTAAAAATGTTTTACAAAATAGCGGTTTAAATAGTAGTGTAGTGAACAAGAACATAAGTGGGGACAATTGAACATATATTTGAACATAAAATTACAGCACATCTTAGTAGAATCTGAGAACTATACAGTAAATACTTAGTTTGCAAAATATCAATCACTTGTCTGAAACTTGACTGTTTCTGCATTTTTTTTACCGATTGCCTTCTATTCTTGTTCTTTCCTTCTCGATCTTCTCAATCTTTTACTGCCAGACATTATATTCCTGACTCATGTTACATACTACTTATGTCAATATAAGTAGCACACATGACAATAGAATTCTTATTGTAGTTTTCATAACTCGTAAAGAATATGTATATTTTTCATAGTATTCAAAACAAGTGAATTGGTGTCAAATATAGAGAAGTAACTGATGTTCGATTGTATGTGAAGAACTTAATTCGAAGTTATCATAAATTGGTTTGTAATATTATGATAAGTTGATTAATGAGTTTCCATAGATCCTTACAACAAGTATACAACTTGCCAAAATGCTAATTTATTGTCAAAACTAACTAATATTAGATAAAAAGAAGCCTGGATGTGTCGGACGGTTACTTAGAATCTTGAACTTCTTAACAGTACATATTTCTGATTTAACATGAAATTAAGCCTAAATCTTTTTATGAATATGATACTTTCAGACCACTAAGTTGAAGTCTTATAGCTTGTACTTCTGATGTCAAACAATTTGTGATATTGCACAATCCTCATTTACTGATTTCCAATCAAGAAGTATAAGTGTATTACTCGTGAAACTATATTTGAATGTGTTGAAATCCGTTCTGTGTAAATTTTAGGGTATATACTATAGAAAAATCTCAAACAAGTCCAAGACGATTGTTGATTGCTCGCTGATTGAAGTAGTTTATCCAGTAAATGTAAGCTCACGGTGAAATTCGCCTTCTCTGCTATGTTCATCCTAAAGTATTTTCTGAAAAACTCGTTGATAAATTTATCAGTCTGTTTACTTAGTAATGATTTACACTTTATGTGTGAAGACTAATGTTAACATTTCCTATCAAAGTACATGAAGAGGTCCAATGTCATTTGGTTTATTCATTAAATCACTGTTACATGAGTAAGTGATGAACTACAAAATACTCAAAAATATTTAAATATTTACGATGAAATCAATCAAATCTAGCTATTATTTCTAGGTTAATTCTTATTACAAAAACAGAAATGGCCATCTGCGCATACTGTAATGACATTAAAATTTTTATTTTTTAGGTTTGGTTTCAGAATCGTCGTAGTAAAGAACGACGTATGAAACAGTTGAATGCCCTTGGTGCACGTCGATCATTCTACAGAAATCCAAGGAGATTACGTGGTATAAGATCAGGGATATTATCCAATGAGCTGAACTCAGGAGGTCCAGGTGATATGATAACCAATTCTGCTTACCATGAATATCTAGTAGGACCTAGTCCCGTAAGTATTATTTATTTAGTCATTATTTTTTACTGCTGTAACTATTGTATAAGCAAAAAGCAATATAAAAAATTTTTATTTCACTAAATTTGAATTAAAATTTGTAGGACATATTTAGCGGAGAATATAAGGGCGTATATACTTGGAATTTTATAATACTATCTGCCGAAAACGATTAGAGAATGTCAGACAATTTATGGGCATGATAGGCTGATACAAAAGAGCGAAAACATTAAGAAATATGAATAAATTACTTGGATAGTGATTTGCAAATCATTTTGACTAAAGATTTGTGACAGCTGTTAATTACTGTTAAGCATCAGATAGATGCGAAATATATAGCCAGTGACATAATCATTCTTAAACACAACTTGAATGGAGGAATATACACCGTAATAGTCATAATTTTTGTAGGTATAGAGCTGTTACTTGTTAGCAACAGCATATGTTCACTAGTGACTGGCTTCAAGATGTATATCCTGGAGTTCTAGTGAGAAGCAGTGACCAGTGGAGTTCAACCAGGTCTGTTGTGAGATAGTAACTCACTGAAGACAATGGTGGATGTGTCGCTCAATTTCGTGGACTAGTTGAAGTTAGAAATTAACACTGTTGGATGCCGGTCAGCTCAGTGGTCTAGTGGGTAAGCGCTCGCACGCGAGATGGATAGGACCTGGGTTTGAATTTCGAGAGGTGGGATCGTGGATGCGCACTGCTGAGGAGTTTCACAATAGGACGAAATGGTCGTCCAGTGCTTCCAGGTTTTCCATAGTTGGTCTAGTTTCAATTGATTCATGATTTCGACAACTGAGAGGTGAATTCATCGATTTTTTCTGATCTTACAGAATTGCGTAATGCCCTTAATATTCCATCTTTTTCTATTTTTAAAGGATATTTACAATGCTATTGCTTCAGCTACTGCAATCGCATCAGGTGTTCCTTTTAATTTGTCTGGTGCAATTCCTAGTCTGACAGGAATTTACCCTCTATCACAAGCACATCCACTTCCTTCAAACGACTCAGTGATCTCAGGTACAGCAGCACACTTATTGAACAGTGATACAGGATCTTTTCATAATGACAATACACCACATTTCAGTCCTAATCCATCTCATTTAACACAAAATTTTCCATCAAATTCACTCAATTGTCTTCCGTATAATCCAACAAATTTATCTGGTTCAAGTGGATTTCGGGCAGAAACAAAATCAGATTTATTATATACTCCATCTTATTTTCCTTCATCATCTTCATCGTCAACATCATCAATGTCTTCACAACAATTAGTAAAATTCCCACTTTATAATAGCACGAATCAAAATTGTTCACCAAATGGATCAATATTTTCATTATCTGATCCTAGAGATTTCCATTTATCTAATTTTCTTGAAAGTAATAATAATAATATGAAATCATATAATTCAACATGTCAACCTAATCCGTTAACAAATCGACCAGTTCATAATTCAATGGGAATAAATTTTAGAAATTTACCTCCGCCAGTCTTTGATGAAATTATATGTAGACCGAATTTAGTATAAAAATGAATGATTAAAAATGGATTTCCATATTAGCAATATATGATAACTTCTTCAGTTAATTGAATTGAACTAGATAAATACAGTTATACATTATGTTTGGTTCTTCTAAATTTACATTACTGATTGTACATAGTTCTTTATTATCTAAGTGATTTACAATTAATTTTCATGATAAACATAAGAATGAGGTGAAAAGATAAGAAAAAACACTAAACGAAGTTTTTGTAAATACCAGTTTTACACATTTATACACAAACACACACACACGTACACTTATCTTGATGGGCATAGATGCTGATTATCATTGATATAATTTGATTATTATTACAATCAAATAGTAGTATGTATGTATGGTTGAATCAAAAAATTTTTTAGCTAGCTCTCTTTCTTTTAACTTTTACCATTTATTGTAAAGTGTAGTTTTTATTGTGTTTTTGTTGTGATATTGGCTATAAGCTGTGATGTAAATGATAAGATATTTCTGAATAAAAATCTAATTATTGTATTTATACAGCCTTGATTATTTACTAATATATGTATACATATATAACTTACTATTTGATAAAATCATTGAACACAATATTATACTTTCTCTAGTCATTCAAAATGATTGAAGTCAGTTGAATCTAATTAGATATTGACAATTAAATGAATCTTAAATAAAGTAAGGATAAACAGATTTATCGATCTAAGTGAATTCATTCTAGTCTGAGGCTTTTCAGTAACCATAAACAGCTTGAAGATAAAAAAGAAAACAGTAGCATGATTAGAAACAAAGGTTTGTTGTATATAGATTAATGAAATTGTTATTTGACAAGAGTCCGAAAATCATAATGAATATAAGATTTATATCAGAAGGGTTTTTGTGGATATCATAGTAATTTCAATGGTTGTGATCATGAGTGGATCTTAACCATTGAAATTACTATAATATCCACAAAACCCATATGATATTAAATAATTATGTGTTTAGTGAAAAAAATTCTTTTAGTTAAAGAAATTCTTGCCAATTTCACAATATTAAGAAAGTATAGGATACTAGAAAGAAAAATTGTTTTGAATATTATGTAAAAGTTCTACATGTTTCTCTATACTTGATTATTGTGAAAATTGGGAAGTATTATCATATACAGTAACACTAACCAATAAAGTCGACAATATAGACCAATGAGAAAAAAAAAACTGGCACACATATTTTTCTTTTCCAATCTTACTAATCTTATCGTCAGGTGTTCAATTTACATGCAGTGATAATAGACCAGTTGTTCATGAATTGGTAGATCAATCTTCCCTGTGGGGATAAACAATGTTAAACAGCAGGTCAGTGGAAATATGCATTTTCTTTTTCCTGTCTGATTTACAACAGATATAATATCATAGGTATTTATAGTACAAAATGTTTTAATGTCGCTGTGTTTTCTTTTTTTTAATCATCTTAGAAAAATTAACACTTTTGGAGTGAACAATTTTACTCAGCAGGATTTTCTCATGAATATTATCTTCATAGTGAATGGAAAAAAACAATTAAGTAGTATAAATGATTGTTTTAAATATTGTCTGTGATATTATCTGTACATTTTTCTGTAAAGATGTTTGTACATAACTTTGCATATATATACATATGGAAAGATAAAAACAAAAACAATGTACAACATTCTGATGATACCGAGATAATAGGCAGTAATACAATTAGAAACATGATGACAAATGTAACACGAATAAAGAAATAAGTAGTCTGTTTGATGTAACTGTTGGGAAAAAATAATTTGAATTAAATACTTCTAAAACTTGTGTTCCTTATACAGTTGCTCATTACAAAATTTCTGAAAAGAAAATAATTGAAATCAAGTATTATCTTACAAGTAATCTGGATATAGAATAGGGTCGTACAATGTAAAACGTTTATTTAGACTAGAAAGTGTCCTAGTTCGGATTTTTACAACGATAATAACGTAACCTGATTTAAGTAACAGTGTGACATCTAGTATACTAATACATAACTTTATTTCTTTCATATCAAGGGAATACATTCACGAAAACATGAATGCGGAAATGTGATTTCTACCCAGAGTCATAAAAAGTTTACCATTTCTAATGATCCATTTATTTGATGAGATTCTTTTGATTTGATAACTTACAATACATCTGTTCTAGGATGATGATAAACTCATGATAAACCATCGTTTGTTTTATACTTAACTGGTTTAGGATCACATGAATTGCAGCAGACTAATAAATATTCCCAAAAAGGATATATTCTGTTATTATATTCGTTTATAATACTTTGTACGCTTAGTTCTTCACTCATCTAAATTAGAAATTATAATTTTTCTGGAAATAAGATCTTGAAGATAAATTTAATCAAAAAATGACATTCATTTGGGGTTACTGAGACACTAAGTAGCTTTTTTGGGCTTGAAACTTTCATAGACCGAAACCAGGACTGAATGTATAGTTAAATATCCCACAACAAGCGTTATACCCCCACCCCAACTACAAAACCAGTACTCAGTGATCTATACTGTTTAACTTCAGGAAACGGGTAACATAAAGTGAACATCATCGAAGATCAACATTAGGTAACTACTACCTACATGGTTATGCCTACAGATCACTGCTCGAAGTAGAAATATTATAAACCTGAACAATTAACACTGACTCCCCAAAAGCTGCACTAGAGATCACTCTAAGAATAGATTGCACACAACCATAACGGTGTACTCTTTTTATTAACCTTTTCTCATTCCATACCGTCATATCCTATAAATGAAGAGCATCCTTCATTGATCAAATTTTTTTTCGATATGATGAAGTTATTTGTACGTAATTTCAAACTTTACGCAGTATATAAATCAGTTTTTAACTACATATCAGTTTATGTTACAGAAGACGAATAATGTTCCCACCAAGCTTCTCAGAAAATGCATAACAATTTTCATATCTAGTCATTTCTAATATTTAAAACTTGGATTGAATCACACTCGGAATGTATTAGATCATAAATCTATTAATATCTCTGATATTTTAAAAAAAAACTTGGGATCGTTCAATAGTGGTATATTAGTCCTATTTAATTAAGAAACTAAGATGGTCATGATGCTGTAAATGATAGATTCTGATTTGTTACAGGAAACCAACTTATCGAATAAGCACATATACTGTTTTTAGAACTAAGTCAAACATTTTGAAATTACATAGTTCTGGCTTTGCATTTCAACGTGATTTCACAACTTACTTACTTACGCCTGTTACTCCCAATGGAGCATAGGCCGCCGACCAGTACTCTCCAACCCACTCTGTCCTGGGCCTTCTTTTCTAGTTCCATCCAATTCTTGTTCATTTTTCTCATGTCTATCTCCATTTCCCGGCGTAATGTGTTCTTTGGTCTTCCTCTTTTCTTTTGGTCTTGAGGATTCCATGTGAGGGCTTGTCTCGTGACGCAGTTGGGTGCTTTCCTCAATGTGTGTTCTGAGGAAAGCACAGCACTACGAATTAATGCCATTTTACTAGAAAAAAGTATAGAGATAATAAAAAACTGCTTATATTAGTATTGTACTTACAAATCAAATGAGTCTATTTGGAAGAAAGTTTAATGTTTCAAGGAACTAGTTACATTTTTTTCAAAAAAAGACCTAGATTTTTCCTTAACTATGCAAACATTGAAATCACATATAGTTTACAAGCAAAAAACGTATCGTCTGATTGATTATGTCTGCCATACAATTTATATCTTTTTCGCTTTTCTCAGCTGCATGATATTACACAAAAAACCATTTGTTCGTTTCAGTAACATTTACTCGACTTGGATATGAAATCGATTCTAACTAAGGTAGAGTTATTCTAAAAACTTTTTTTTGAACAGTTACTTTTCACTCACACCAAGTTATATTTGTTTAAAACACATTTCTCATTGCAAATAACAGAGTACATTTAAAAAATAACTAACTTTGCATCATTTTTCCTATTTTTTGGTTGTTAAAATTATCTGACTTTGATTTTGTCGAGAAACTTGTGTGTACTAGACTTTCTAGGTAGTTGAAGGTATTCGACAAGAAACTCTTGAAGATATGGGTTTTATTCCAATAAGGAACATTTGTCCCTTCAATATTGGTGGCATACCCTGCTAATGAGCAACAAACAGTACGAAATCTAGGTCCACAGTTTTCTGTTGATTACTTCCAACCATTTAATATCTCAATATAATTTATCCAATATCTAATCATTTAAACTAATGGCCATTTTGCAAACTGATCGGTAGAATTCGATCAGTACTGAAAAAGACCAAACAAAAATGATATTCATCACAACCGTTTCATCAATCGATTGCATTCAACCATTTTCATAAAACTTTATCATATAGTTAAAAATGACATTAAATATTTGGATACCAGTTCAGTGGTCTAGAGGTTAGTCGTTCATGCATGAGACCGACAAGTACTGGGTTCGAGTCCCGCTGGGAGAAGTCGTGAATGTGCAGTGCTGAGAAGTTTCATACCAGAACAAACCAGTCGTCCAGTGCTTCCATGTTTTCCATAGTGGTCTTGCTTCCATTGACTCGTGAATCGAACCACTAAATTACTATAATATCCACAAAACCCCTCTCTGATTATAAAATATTTCGTTTCCTATTTTAACTATAAATCAACACACGAACTGAAAAAAATATCAACAGCTATAGAAAGAGGAATAAATAGGTTCTGATTACGCAACAAATATGATGTGTCATATTTAAAAAAAAAATAAAATGTATGTTTTCTTGATAACACCAAGAGAAGCGACAACAATACAACTATATATATATACATCTAATGCATGAATTTTAATCATTTTCTCCCATTTAATAGACAGATTATTTGATGAATGTTGTTGATGTGACTAAGCAGAATTTATCATTTTTTTGCACTGTTCTTTTGTTTTGAAACATTTAAATAAACAAACAAACAGACAAATAACCACAATTTATCATTAATGTTACCATTGCGATTAGTATTTTGCATCTG